CACACACACACACACACACACACACACACACACACACACACACACACACACACACAGATATAATAGAATCAACATGTTTGCTTTAACTTACGACCATTTAGATTCAAATTTATCTACATCAGTAAAAAATGTTAATTTGGACCAAATGTTCTATCAGAATCAGTTTTTTTGCCATTGTCAATGAAGAAGATTCACAGACTAGGAATTTGCTTCGGTGTAAAGGTGCAATAAGTATAAAATATAACAAATAAAGAAAATACAAAGGATAAAGGAAAAGAATAAAATATATAAAACATATGTACACCAGTTCAATACAGTAATTAAAGAAGACAATATAGCTGGAGTACGGTAGTTCAATTAGATCCACTGATAAAGTAACCAGAAAAACAATATAGTCGTGGTTGTGCAATCCAGTGGCCGAAACCTTCTGCCTTTTTTGTTACTTTGCTCAACCATCCAACAGTTTCTTACATTTACACATTTGTTATCAGCTGTGCTTTTCCACCTTAAATTCATATCTGTGTTTAGGTCACAAAGCCAACAAATCCAAGAAAGAAACACCAACATCCCACTCTCCAGCTTCTTCTGGTGGATTCCATATTCTCAGGCCAGAGGTGCTATAGAATACCTCCAGCGAGTTCTGGTTCTGCTCTAGCATCTTCTCCCTCTATATTCCCAGAAAACYTCCAAAGGGAGGCATCGTAATTAGATGCCCACCTCAACTGATTCATTTCATTGCAGAGGAGCAGCGGCTCTAATGGAGCTCCTCACCCTAATCTCCAAGGCTGAGCCCAGCAAACCTACGAAGGGCGCTCATTTGGTCTGCTTGTATCCAGAATCATGTTCCCTCTGTCATGATCCAAACCTCATAATCATGAATGAGGGTCAGGAAATAGACCAGTAGAGCTTTGCCTGTCGACTCAACCCTTTCTTCTCTTTCTTCACCACGACCGACCAAAGCAACGCTCTGATTACTGAGGTCGAGGCTCCAACTAGTAGATCCATCCCCCGCTCCATCCTACCATCACTCAGAAACAAGACATCCAGACATTAACCTTTTCCACCTGAGGTAAAGACTCACCTCAAGCAATGAGAATATGGAGGATTCTTGTCAAACAAGATTCTTTCAGTCACAAACTTGACGAACTCCTCACAAACGGTTGTAAAAAAGCAATATAGTGTTTCATTTTACTGTCAACTCAGTTTTATGCATGTGTAGGGGTCACCTCGAGTGAAGAAACAGGAGTTACTGCCTCAAAGCAGGTCTCGAAAGGCCTGAGAGAAGGCAGGAACACTGAACTCTATTTTAGGCCATGACAGGTCATTTCAACCTTGAAGGGAACTCCAGTTTCTCTTAATCAGATAATGAACAGAAACAATCTCTTCTGTTCGTGATTCATTTGTTGTTTAACTAAGAATGTGTATGCATTAGTTAATCTTAATAATGGCATGTCACAAAGAATATAGAATCACTTCTATTATTTTATCATGCCTAAAATAGAGTAATGAATCACAGAAATCATCACCATGTTTTCATTGTGTTTTTATAAATCACTGTCTTTATTTTACTGAAACATCAGTAATATAATTTTGAGTTTGTCTTAAGCAAATCTTACATGTATCTGGACACAGGTTCAGAATGATTATTTAAGCAGAAATGTTAATTAATCATTATAAATG